TTGGCGGGCCCAGGCTGGATTCGAACCTGCCACCTTAGGTGTATGTGGCTGGCACCTTAGCCACTTGAGCCACATACACTGAGCTGTGGCTGGTGCCCTTAACCACTGAGCTATAGGTGCTGAACCTAGATCAGTGATTTTTAACTGGTATGCCATGAGAGGATCTTAAGAATCCCACAAAAATTTTTAAAGGGAAGTTTAAAGCACAGTATATTTTTTTTTTACTCCTTTTTTTTTTTTTTGACAGAGTCTCACTGTGCCCCTTGGTAGAGTGCCATGATGTCACAGTTCACAGCAACCTCAAACTCTTGGGCTTAAGTGATTCTCTTGCATCTGCCTCTGAAAAGTAGCTGGGATTATAGGTACCCGCCATAACACTGGGCTATTTTTTGTTGTAGTTGTCATGGGTTAGCAGGCTGGTTTACTTTTTTTTGGATCAATATAATTTAAGTGTACCACAGAAGTTTTTAACTAGGTTTAAGTGCGCTGTGGAGTAAAAAGAGTTGGAAAACACTGGTCTAGATTTCTAGCAGTCCATGGATGGGGATTTTTCTGAAGTCTGTCCACAAAGCATACCCACAAGCAATGAGGCTGAAAAATAAAAGAGAACAGGTATGTGGAATCTGTCAAAATCTATCAAGTGCTCAATCCTGCTTGCTTTTATAATTTGGTTATAGGAGGTTAAGAAAGTTATTCATAGGCTCAGTGCCTGTGGCTCAATGGCTAAGGCGCCAGCCACATACACCTGAGCTGGCAGGTTCAAATCCAACCCAGCCTGCCAAACAATGATGGCTGCAGCCAAAAAATAGCTGGGTGTTGTGGCTGCCGCTGGTAGTCTCAGCTACTTGGGAAGCAGAGGCAGGAGAATCGCTTGAGCCCAGGAGTTGGAGGTTGCTGTGAGCTGTGATGCCATGGCACTCTACCCAGGGCGACAGCTTGAGGCTCTGTCTCAAGAAAAAAAAAGTTATTCATAGAGATCTAGAGACCTGGTTTTCTATCACCTATGTGGGTATTTCCTAATGGTGGCACATTAAAATGAAATTGTCTGATAGCTCTCAGGGATGGGTGTGGAGGATCGATCTTGTCTGCCTCTCTGCTGGAGGCTGTGCTGCTTCTGGCCACTTTTGGGTTCTGTCTTCATGGCCTGGACTAGAGCTTGAATGTGCTCCTACCTCCAACCAAACCTTCCTGAATGGTCACGTTGAGGGATCTCTCTCTTTTGTTCTGTTGGTTTCTTCCTTAGGATGATGGAGATAGCAAGAGCCATGAGGCTGAAGATCTCTAAAACAAGGGTGTCTCTGGCTGCTGGTGGGGAAGAAGATCACAAACTGGGCACTCTGTCCATCCCACTGCCTCCAGCACAGACCTCAGACCGCCAGTCAAAGCGGAGGAGAATTACCTAGATGTGTGCTTTTCAGACAGCATGTGACCCCATCACAGCTACTGGTTCTATTCATTTCCATTTTTACTTTTAATGAACTATAGAAATAATCCCTAAAAGTATAGTCTTTCCATTTTTATTTTTAAAAAGGGAAAAGAAGCTTTGCTTTGGCAAGGGCCAAGGTGGGTGGATTGCCTGAGCTCACAGGTTCGAGAGCAGCCTGAGCTAGAGTAAGACCCAGTCTCTAAAAATAGCTGGGTGTTGTGGTGGGCGCTTGTAGTCCCAGCTACTTGTGAGGCTGAGGCAAGAGCATCACTTGAGCCCAAGACTTTGAGGTAGCTGTGAGCTGTGACGCTGTGGCACTCTACCAAGGGCAACAAAGTGAGATTCTGTCTCAAAAAAAAAAGTTTAATACACGGATAAGGTGCTATCAAATTGCTAGAAGAACTGGAGAACTGAGAATTAGGAGCTTCCTTCTGAAATTGCCAAATTCAATAGCTCACTGCTGAGGGTGTCACTGGGGATTAGAAGCCATTTCTGCCTCATAGCTGCTTCTCAAACTCATTAAACTGGAGAATATTTACCTGGAATGCTGAATGAGCTACCCATGCCTTCCATACCTACATTTCCACCCTGTTGCTTGTTAGCACAGCAGCCAAAACACAGGGCGCTGGCCTCAGTGCTTCCTTCTATGAGGATATATATAGGAGCCTGATTTGCTTCTAGAATTCTAGCAGCAAGGGAATCTTGGAAATGAGTTTCAGCTCTCCAGCCTGTGATACGGGAGGTAAGCTGGAAGGTGGTGAAGGGATGGTAACTGTCAACCACGTTCCTGCCCTGGGAGATAGAACAGCCTGTGTCCAGATGGGTGCCATGAAGACAGGAATGTGACACAAGAAAGCTTAGGGACGTGGCCTAGGGTCTGTCTCTGATCTCCAAGACTCTTCTGAGATAGTGGGCAGAGGCGAGATCTGTGGTGCTCTGCATTGGGAGGCAGGATCAGTGAAGGGAGGGAGATAGCTCCACTGTCTGAGAAATGTGAGGTGGAAGTTCACTCACAGCTGGGCCATCTCTGTTGGGGGATCACAGTGGATGAGCTTTGGGAGTGCTGGTCCTTATTGTCTTTGAGTTCTGGGTTGCTGTTACCAGAGCCACTTCTGTGGTAATGCCACTGCCTAAAATGCGCTTTTCACTATGCTGCTTCAGCTTCTCCACTTCTGTCTGACCCTGGGTAGAAGGCGCTTACCTGGTTTCCCTGCAGCACAGGTGTGAGCAAGAAGTCTGCATGCCTACAGACATATGTCTGTGTTATTAGGCAGTAAATGCTTGTAGAATAATGAAGTTATACTATGCTTCTTCTAGGTCTAGATACTCATTTATTTACTCTTCACACATTCACAGGGAGTACCTTGATCAGAATGTTTCCCAATGTCCTCATTGAAGAAGGGGTCCAAGGGATAGCTGCTGGTGCCCTTCAGAAGGTTCGTAGTTTGTGAGATAACTTATGGGTTTTGCTTATAACAGACTGAAGTCTGTTCCCTGCAGGGAAGCCTTTGTGGCCTGACCTTTTGGACACTGGTAAGAAGGATGAGGTAAAAGAAGGTATATTTAACCCGTGTGCAGAAGACCTTGACCTGGAAATAGCTAATTAGATAGCATTCTTTCAAATCCTTTCAGAATTCTTCTTTAAAATAACTTTATTTTGGTTAAGTCTTTCACACTTAGAGAAAACATGTAAGAATAGTACAAAGAACTGTATATTCTTTACCCAGATTCTCCAACTGTTAATACCTTGGCCAATTTATTATTTGCTTTACATAGTGTTAGATTTCTCTTTGAACCATTTGAGAAAAACATCCTACTCTTTTATCCACAAGTACTTCAATGTGTATATCAAGGGTCCTCAAACTTTTTAAACAGGGGGCCAGTTCACTGTCCCTCAGACCGTTTGGAGGGCTGGACTGTGGGCCCCGGGATGAGTCAGCTGCTAAGCAGGACAGGCAGCAGCAGCAAAAACACCCCAGGGGGGCTGGATGGGTGTCAGACAAACCAAGAGACTTAAAATACAGAGAGGATTTGGTACCACCATGGGGAGATGGGTGGGTGGGTACAGAGCATGTTGGAGTACTTAACTAATACTTGAAGAGATCAGGGAGGGTGTTCCACAGTGGTGTTGACTAAGGAAAAATCAGATGCAACAGGCTCTCTCAGGCAGGTCTGGTGTGTTGTGGGAGAGCGAACCCTGTCCCCTCCAGCAGTGCCAGCTCCTGCAAAGTGTTTCATTTCCCCCCAATCACAAGAGAGAGGGTGACATATCCTCCCATGTATGTCCAGCTGTTATGTGTCCTTTCTTGCTACCTGAGCCCCAGGGAACAGCCCTCCTCACATCTCTCTTACCTACCAGCTCTTAACATTTGACAGTGAATTTTCACACACTGGTCTTAAGAAACATAACTCAGGCTCAGCGCCTGTGGCTCAAGTGGCTAAGGCGCCAGCCACATACCCCTAAGCTGGTGGGTTTGAATCCAGCCTGGGCCCGCCAAACAACAATAATGGCTGCAACCAAAAAATAGCCAGGCGTTGTGGCGGGCACCTGTGGTCCTACCTACTTGGGAGGTGGAGGCAGGAGACTTGCTTGAGCCCAAGAGTTGAAGGACCACTGTGCTACAGGTGCTGAGCCAAGTACTAACTTCTTAAGTGACATCTTGATATAGCACACGTTTTAAGACACTGAGTGACTGAAGGTGGGAAAATGTGTCCATGGACCTAAGGATGACCCTTTTGCCTGTCTGGTGATCACAGGCAGCATGTGACTGTTGATCCTCACAAAGATGCATGGGGCAGGCAGGACTAGAATTGTCACCCTGAGACATCGAGAGGTGCAGTTCTTCCAGATTTGTATCCAGAACCATCATGGGAAAAAACTGAACTGACAAGGTTGTCCCCTCGATTCTCCTATGTCCTTTAAAGGCAGCAGTGCTGGGCCTGCATGGAGCCACCAGGGACTCTAGTGTATACCCAGTAAGGAAAGGCCTGCCAAAAGTGTCTTTTAAAATATAGAACTTTATTTTAGTTACTGAGATTTTCATCAATACTTAGTTCACAGAAAAGTCATTTCTTAAAAAATAATAAAGGCAGCATTTTGTACAGCAACATTGGGGCAGAGTGCAAAGGACAGTGTCAGGGACAGGAGGAGTAGCACTCTCATGCTCACGGTCCTTGGGGAGGCCAGTGCTCCTGGTTCCCTCCCCTCTCCCATCCCACCCAATAGAGCAGCACCGAGGGCCTGGCAGAACCAGCCCAGCCAGGAAGCCATCAGCCAAGTGCAAGATAGCAACCCCATCGTGCTGGTGAAGGCCCCACATGAAAAGCTGAGTGGGAAGGGGACTGTTCAGGCTGAGCCAGCCCTGCATCCAGCCCCCTTCTTTGAGCAATGGGTACTAGCTGCTGGCTCTGGAACCCTGACACATTCACAGTACGGTTCAATAAAGCCCTTTGGGAGCTGGCCTTGCTTCCCACACTCAGACCACTGTCCCTCCCCTAACCCAGGGTTGGGATCTGGACAGATGTGGTCTACCTGCAGGCAGCTCACAGGCAAGTGGGAAGGACAAGTTATGGACCTGGATAGCTCCAAAACAAGGCAGAAAGTGCTCAGTACCCTGAGAGGGAACAGAGAAAGGGCTACTGGGGCTCAGGAGGTGGGCAGAGGGTGGGAGAGCTGTGTGGGACAGTAGTGTCTGAGCTAAACCTTGAGAAACCTGTATAGCCTGGACACATAAGGATGGTGGAAAAGGCATGCCAGGAGGAAGAAGAGAGAACGTGAGCCAAGGCACAGAGTGAGAACACACAGCAGGGTCAGTAAAGGCCAGTGCCCATCCATGAGAATGTGGATACGTACCAGGGGCCCAGGCACCCCTACCTCCATAGGACTGTGCCCAGGAGGGGTGGCTGGTGTGTGTTCACGTGGGATTTGAATCCTTAGAAGGCAGTAAGCTAAAGTCCTCCTGAGTTTGGGAGCTATTTGAAGATGGAGTAGAGCTGCCCAGCCTGGCCCAGCACCTGACTGCAACCCCTGGCTGCCTGAAAGGAGCCTTCTATCATACACTCCCCCTTTCCGTTTTCAGCATGGCCCCATCATCCCTGGGTAGCCTTTCAAGAAGGGCTCCCATTCCCAAGCCCCTTCCTCCCTCGCAGGTCCTTGTCCAAGTCTAAGAGAACTGTATCCATAAGTAAAACAAACTCATTTTCTCCAGCCTCCAAAGGCAGGTTTCTCAGGCACTGTCTCCGTCTCAGCTCCTCTGAGCACCTTTCAGGGCCCAGGGCAGGTCTTTGTCCTCACAGGATGGTGCAGAAAATGCTACGGTTGCTGTGGTAACCACCTTCAACACGGGCTGTGATTCGGGTCGCCATGGCTGTCATCTTCTGTCCACTGTGGGCTGCAGAGGGCCCTCGGAGAGAGTTTTCAAGGTGAGGCCGTGCTGGTGGGTTCACCAGGCGCCATGTATCCGATCTGGAGGTGCAAAACGAAAATCAATGAAATCTTTGATCTACAGCATTTCCTGAGCGCTCTGCACAATCTTACCCAGGGGTCTTCAAACTTTTTAAACAGGGGGCCAGTTCACTGTCCCTCAGACTGTTGGAGGGCCGGGCTGCAGGCCTTGGGATGAGTCAGCTGCTAAGAAGGACAGGCAGTGGTGGCAAAAACACCTGGCGGACCAGGTAAATGTCCTCAGCGGGCCACATATGGCCCATAGGCCGTAGTTTGAGAACGCCTTATCTTACGTTTTGACACAAGATCAATGGATCTGGGTGTAGGTTTTGTCTCTCTGGTGTTAACCAAATAGGTGGGATGTGTGAAACTAAAGGGCAAAAGTCTGACTTTCCAAGTCCATTGCCTTAAAATTCTGCAGATAACGTTGGAAAAATTTCTTCTATGGGCCTCAATTTCTCCATCTTTAAAGATCTAGATAGGATCAGGATTTTTTTTTTCTTTTTTTTCAGAGACAGAGTCTTGCTCTGTTATTCATGCTGGAGTACAGTGGTATGGTCATAGCTCGATGCAGCTCCAAACTCCTGGGCTCACGCCATTCTCTTGCCTCAGCCTCCCGAGTAGATGGTCCTCAGCCCACATTTGACACAAAGCTGAAGCATAGGCCTTTTTCTGACCAGAGCCAAAAGTTGCAGAATTACAAGGTGCAAGGGTAACAATAATAAATGGGCCTAGGTGTGGCTTCTCCAGTGATCTTACTGTGGTTCTAGAACAGTAGTCCTAACCTTTTTGGCACCTGGGACCGGTTTCATGGAAGATAACTTTTCCATGGATGGGGGTGGGAAATCGTTTCACGATGATATAAGTGTATCACAATTATGTACTTCAGATCACCAGGTGTTAGATTCTCATAAGGGCTTCACAAGCTAAATCCCTCACATGCACACTTTACAGTACGGTTAGAGCTCCTATGAGAAATGAATGACCCCGCTTATCTGACAGGAGGTGGAGCTCAGGTGGTAATGCAAGCAATGGAGGGCTGTAAATATAGATGAAGCTTCACCTACTGCTCACCTCCTGCTGTGTGGCCCAGTTCCTAACGGGGCACAGACAAGTACTCATCTGAGGACTGGGGATTGGGGATCATAGTTCCAGAATACTGGTTCAGGCAACCCTAGGAACTTACTTTTTCTTGAAGACTAAGAACTTGTTGTTTTGCATGATGCATTCTCGGTTGTTTGAGATCTGCTGAAAGATGGTCTTGTTGGTTTTGCCCTGGAAGATGATGTTCTCCTGCACCAGGGCCTTAGCACGACCTCGAACTGCAATGCCATAAGCTCGGAATGAATGGATCCGGTTCTTTATTACCTGGGAGAGGCAGCCAGAGCTTGTCACAGACTGCTAGAGGAGCCAGGCAGTTCAATTATTAGTTATAAACCTGAGGCATAAGAACATGCTAGGTAGGTCAACATGTAGCCATAAGAGCATAAACAAGAACAGCCTGGGAGAACCAAGGAAGGCTTCCTAGAAGAGGTGACAGGTTAAGTTGTAGGAGTTTATCAGATGCAGGGCATGGAGAGTTGTTTCAGGAAGAAGCAGCAATGTACAAAGGTCTGGCAGAGAGGGGAGCAGGTGCCAGAAGCCAGGGCCACTGACAACCTAACTAGGGCAAAAGTTGTGTCCCTCTCTCTCTCCCCTTCCTCTGAGGTAAGGCCTGTCAAAGTCAATGACTCATGAAGCCATGGAGCTGAAGTGTTTGGGATTATAATTCCACAAGGGCAGGGACCAACTGTTGGGCTCAACACTGAAATCCTAGCACCTAGTACAGTGCTTTGCATATAAGTGCTCGGAGCTCATAGTCCTCTGGGGAAGACAAACAGGGAAAGGAACAGATCCCAAGTACTGTGGAAAGAGCTCTATGAGGTAGGGGTGGGCTTAAGCATCATACAAATCTAAAAGAGGGGCTCAGACAACCTGGGTGGTGGTGGTCAGGGAGTCTTTGAAGGAAGAGACAGCTAAGCTGTAGTATTGAGGTACAAAAGGGACAAGGGGTATTACACCTATAGAGGGAACAGTGTGTGCACAGGCCCTAGGGCAGGATTTCTCTCCTCATTAAGGATGATTTTGTTAGAGAAAGAGTTGAAATAGCCCTGACTTTGACTGGGACCTGGAGACCAGAAAGCTGCCTCAGGAAGCTCCTAACACTACAAATCTAGGAAGGGACACTCCTACCCCTGAACTCTTATTCATCCTTCAAAGCCCAGTTCATATGTCCCTTCCTGTGAGAAATCCCACTTGCATTTCTCAGGTGAGTTTTGGTTGGAGGGATGATGTCCCATGTAGCACTGGAGTGCTTATGGTTTTGCTTCTCAGCAGAGGGCCAAAGGACTGTTCCAAGGCTGTGTCTTGTGTTGGTACTACATGTCACACACATGCATACATACTCACCTTAGTGTCAGACCTGGGCAGTAGCTGCAGCCCACTGCCCCGGTTGCCAATGATGTCATTTTCAATGACAACAGTGCTATCGCCCTTGGTGATAATGCCATGGCCTCTGTTGTCATAGATACCATTGCCCCGGAGTTCCACCTTGCACTGGGCCTCAACCTTGACTCCACTCTGCCGGTTGCAGGAGATGCTGTTGTTGGTCACACGGGTGGACTGGCTGCTCTGGGCCACAGTGATGCCTCTGTCCCCATTAGCGTGGATCACATTGGTGATAACATGCAGTGCCTCACTGCTCTGGACATAGAGTCCCGAGGCTATGGGCAGAAGGTTCGGGGAAAACACAGGGTGATCCCAAGGTCAGCCCTGACAGCACTAGTCAGAAAAAGCCTTCCCTGAATTGTGCACCCCAGGAGAGAAGTGGAGAAAAAGAGGCAGTGACACTCAGCGCCAGACCTTGGGTTTGTATCTTCCAAGTTGATAACAAGTAGTAGGAGGAAACCTAGGAGCATCATATAAACTCTGTGCCTTCTGAACTAAGTCATTATCAAAGGTAGTCAGGGAAACATGATATGTGAAGACTTCTATGGCTTAGAAATTATGGGACGGCGCCTGTGGCTCAGTGAGTAGGGCACTGGCCCCATATACCAAGGGTGGTGGGCTCGAACCTAGCCCTGGCCAAAACTGCAAAACCAAAAAAAAAAAAAAAAAGAGAAATTACGGTCTTCTGGCATGAATCCTGTACTTGTTGACTCCTTCACCATCAGCATCCTACCACTACTTGCATCTTTTGTGACAGGGCACTCACTACCTTACCTCCTCAAGGGTGCCTATTCCACCTCTAGACAGACAGATAACATCTACTAGAAGGTTGTTTTGCTTTGATTTCCATCCCATAGTATGCCAGAATTTGCTAAAATGTGTTAGAAATTTGGGAAAGGAAAAATGGTGTTTGGGGGTTGTATATACGTAGAGACACTAAGTATATACATAAAATCAGCAAGATTGGCTCAGCGCCTGTGGCTCAAGTGGCTAAGGTGCCAGCCACATACACCTAAGGTGGTGGGTTCGAATCCAGCCCAGGCCTGCCAAACAACAATGATGGCTGCAACCAAAAAAATAAAAAATAGCCAGGTGTCGTAGCGGGTGCCTGTGG